AAAAAAAGCCAATTTAAAGAGAAAGCACCAGAGGGTGTTACAATTACTGGGTCATTATCACAATGCCAGACTACCTTCCATTTGGTGCACAGTTACTGAGGCAAAAAAAATAGATAAGGGTTCAGGAAAACTGGTTATTAGTACTGGCTGTTTCCTCCAACTAGCTCTGTGTGTATTTTTGTCTGTAAAATGGAGATGATTTCTGCCTTAAGGGGTACGGTGAGAAGGGATATAAAAACTTGTAAACTATAAAATGGGGTAAAACTATGATGTAGAACTCCTATTTCCTGACAACTGATTATATATTCTTCCTCTTCATCAAAGATTCTTAATCTATTTGAGAGTCACAGATTCCTTTGAGAATTTGATGAAAGCTACTGAGCCTGTGTCACAGAAAAAGGCACATACAAACTCCTGCATTCAATTTTAGACAGTCCATGGAACTGTGAAGCTGGAGACATAGACCCTCAATGTAAGGCACTTCCACACTTTACAAAACCTTGGAAACAGGAAGCTGCAGCACAGCCCTGTAATTAATTCATTGTACTTGGAGTAGTTGAGAAATTGGGGAAAGAAAACACGGTCACAGAGACAACTAAATTCTGTGAAAACAGAAATAATGTAGTAAAATGCAGCTTTATATTGAACTTCATAGAATCTCATGGACATTGTGGATACTCTACAATAGATACTAACAATGTTCCCATTTGCCTGTTTCTTCCATCTTACATTCTCAGCTAAGAATTACAACTACAATTATCATCTGTCTTGTGAGTTCATTTTGGAAGTTAACTGTAAAACTTGTTAACTTTGAATCAGCTTCATCTGTATCAGGTTTCCTGTAGGGAACAGGGAACAACTTGATCAGGCCATAGTATCCTGTCTATACAAGTCAGTGATTTAAGTATTGTTAACAAGCCATTTCATTAAAAATGTCAACAGCTTACCGATTACCAGGGGCCAGGTTCCATCTGTACTGTTTACCGAAGAACCAGAAAGAGCTTTCTTTTAGACCCCAAATTCCTATTACCTCAGACAACAAATTCTATACTAAGGAAAAGTAAATGCTTGCAGTCCTGTGGCTCTATTAGGCACAACTTCATTTTTTGATCATGCTAAAAAATACTGGAAAATAAATTACTCTCATTCTCCCTGCCATCAATTTTAGCCCATTCTCCCTGCCATCAATTTTAGCCCAGCAGTAAATAAAATTTAAATTTCATATAAAGATGCTTCCATGATTATATTTGTAAAGATTAGCACTTAAAATATGTATGTAAAAAGAGTTTGTATATTAACAACATAGTTCACATTTACAAAACTCATTTTAGTTACTGATCATTAAATCTTTGACCAAAATTAATGTAAGTTTGTAGGTTCACTTGGGTCACTTATTTGCAGCATGAAACTCAAATTTAAAAAAAAAACCTGAAGAGTCACTTGGAGTTCATCAGATTTTATTACTACTAATCATTTAAGATACTTACCTAAATTGAGCTCAAGTTTATACTCATTAATTTCCTTTGCTCCAGACTTAATTAGCAATTCAGAAGATTACTATTTTTATTTAGCTGCAGTTCAAGCTTCACTAATTTTACTGCCTCTATAGCTAACAAAACTGAGAAATGTCTTTGCTGAGTATTTTAAGGCTTAAATAGGTGTCTGATTTAAAAAAAATAAAATCTGTAGATTTTTCTCAACATTTTTTTTCTGAAATACAAATGAAAAGATATTTTGTGCTACATATCACAAGCTTGCTATTCTTTTCAATTCTTTAAAACTTCCTGTTTATTTTGGCACGCACTAAACAGCTCAATAAAAAGATACATAGGTTATTTTTTTTTTTCATTATTTTATTTAGTGTTTATGAATGCCAAACTTGGATAACATGCCCCCCAACTTAGTATTTGGTCCACAAAAATATAAAAGTATTCCTCCTATGACAAAAAGAAATTAAACCTTACAGTTGAAAAAATAGACGTGAGCTTGAAAAACAAGTTAGGATGTGTTTCAACTTAGGAAGGAATATTCTAGAATCCATCTAGAAACATCTGGCAGAATAACTGGCCTGGTGTTACTGGTGGTGTTCTGCCTTAGAGGGGGTTAAAGGGTACATGGGAGGGTGCTAAAGACTCGCCACAGCCACAGAATCACTTACTCAAAATTAACAAAAATTCAATATAGAATAATATATAACAGAAGAACAATTTCAATAGTTGTACATTAGTTTCTGGGACATGGGAGAAAACCATAAAACATACACAAAATAAATCCAAGCTGCTTACTTAACCTTCCACCATTCTCTTGAGTATTACACTCAGGCCACCTTTGGCCACATGCAAGGGTGTCTTTTCTTCTTTATTCTCAATGTAAATACTTGCTCCATGGGACACCAGCAGTTTTGCTTCCTCCACTCTCTCCTCATCACAGGCTAAGTGTCTGAAAGCAAGGACCATAAAGACCATTAATCACTAACAATTCTATGTGATGGTTAGGATTACCTGCTAGGTAGTCTAAATTGCTATGATCCCAGAACTAGATGGTGCCCAGCTACCAATGCCAACCACTCAGGAAAGGATCAAATCTGGAGATCCTGGATAGAGTGGAACAAAATCCAAAAACTCAATAAAGACCAGAATTACTGGTCAGATGAAATCTGGTGAGACCCCCAATACTATGGCCCTGGAATACATTCTGCACCTGGAATAAAACTCATCCCCAGGGGCTGGCTCTCAGCCCAATAGTTAATAAGATGTACAAGCAGGATGTACAACCTAGGATGACGCACCCACATACTCTATTGTAGTACATCCCTTAGAGAAATAGACCACAGGGCACCAGAGGACCAACATTAGAATTGAGGAAATGCAGGACAAACATGATTACATAAATATGAGAGGCACAGGGGCAGGGTTACAGGGTAGGTAGGAGAGGAGACTGGGTTAGGATTGGACATGGTAAATGTACTAAATGTATATGTAACATTGAATGTAAACCAAGCACTTAAAATAAAAAATAAAAATTAAATTGTTATGATCAGCTAGTGGCAATACTGGAGAGTTATTTATTCAGAAAAGGAAAATCAATTTGCATGTAGAAGACTGTTTATTAGTTAAAAATCAGTGAAACAGCCTTATGAAACCAGATCATAAATCATAATCCTGGCCCTCCTGCAATAGATGAAGGGATCTAAACGTCAGCCTAAGAAAGAGCAACTTTCTTATTTAAAGACATTAGAAGTAGCTTCCCCCAAATACATGTAATATTCCAGGATTCAAATTTAGAAAAGCCTCAATTTATAGTCTGTTAATAATAATTACTTCACATTTGAGTGGCTTGAATTTTGGAAAAGCAGTTTAGGAGATTTTCTCTCATTTGGCTCTTCTATCTACCCTTGGCTAGCAAGACATCACCATTTTACAGTTGAAATGGTAACAGAGGTTAATTTTTTTGCCTATGACAACCTGGTTGAGCTGTAACTGAGCAGGGAAAGAAACTAACCTTTGTTAGGCACTTATAATTTGCCCAGCAGGCTATTCAGCACTTTACATGTTATTTTATTGAAACCTCTCCACAATCTAATGAGGATGGAATTATTATCCTCATAATACAGGTGGGAAATTAAGACTCAGGAAGATTAAATAACTTCCTCAAGTTCACAGAACTGGTAGGTAGCAGAACTTGGACTGGGTGAACAGCAGCTTAAAAAAAAAAGTTGCTATCAAGTTAATTCTGACTGATGGTGACCCCATGTGTTCATGGTGACACATAGGGTCATCATGAACAGCAACTAGATTATTACTAAATCCTATGCCCTTTCCAGAACTCTCTTACTTACTGCCTGACTCTGAGATTTCCTCTAGGCCATTCTGCCTAATTATGGAGAAAGTAGCTAGAATGTGCAGGTCTTTCTAAAGACAGCTACTCAGAACTACACAGGATTTTCACAACTAAGAGTTACGAAGACAATACTCTAAATAAGTTGGCTTAAGGACAAACTGGAAAAAGATATAACCTCACTTGTGACTAAACAGAAGATTCATAGAACTTCTGGTTCAAAATAATGTCATCATTCAACGAGTAAGAAAAACCAAAAAAGAAAAAGAAAAATCAAATCCACTGCAACTGAGTTAACTTCAATGCATAAAGACCCTACAGGACAGAGTAGAACTGTATCATAGAGTTTTCAAGGCTGTATGTGCATCTTGAGGGAGGTAGATTGGCCTCATTTTCCTCCCGCAGAACAGCTGGTAGGTTCAAACCATCAGCTTTTTGGTTAGCAGCTGAATGCCTTAACCACTGCACCACCAAAGCTCTTAACAAAATGAAAAGGCAAACAAACTGGAAAAATATTTTCCACTAACGTGACAAAGATTAATATTTTTACTATGTCAAGTAAAGAGCACTTACAAATCAGTAAAAACAATTTAATTCCCCAAAAAGAAACAGAAAAAGGGACAAAAAAGTCACAAGTTAGAGAAGAAATGTAATTAGGCAAAGTCATTTAAAAACATTCAACTTCACTGAAAATTTTAAAAATGCCAATTACAACAAGAAATACTATTTTTCAAATAACAAAAGGATAATTTCAGTGTTGGTGAGGGGTACTGGTACTCTAAAACTGCTCTAGGGAGGGCACAATGAGACAACTCCTCTGGAAGCAATTTTAATATATATCAATAGTCTTTAAATCGATGTATTCATTGACCCAATATTTCTACTTCTGGGAATCTACACTAAGGAAATAAGGAGCAATATGGCCCAATTTTTTCATACAAAGTTGGTCAATGCAGCATTATTTACAGGAGTGGAAAATTGAAAGCAGTTTAAAATCTAGTAATACAGCCATGATTAAATTATGGCATATCCATAAAATAGAATTTTATATTGTTGTGATTGTTGTTATGTGCCATCGAGTCGTACCCGACTTATAGCGACCTCTCTTTGGGTTTCCGAGGCGGTATCACTACGGAAGTAGATTGCCCAACCTTCCTTCTCAGGAGTGGCTGATGGGTTTGAACCGCCAGCCTT